GGGGCATTTCTCACCCCCACCCCACTTCTGTCTCTAGCAAGCACATGTACCCTATAGCAAAAAAACCCCAAAAACAAAACCAAAAAAACCCAGACCCCCCACCCGATACCCTGCCAGAAATGCCGAAACAGCTACTCTACTAGCCATTGCCCAGACAGGCAATAAGGGAAGGGGAAAGGGAGATTTTTTCATAGAATGAACCTCAGTTTTCATTATGCACCTAAGAATCATGGAAAGGTCTAGGTACAAAATGAGATTACACACACACACACACACACACACACACAAAATGAGCAAAAAACATTTACATACATTTTTAAAAGTATACACCGCACTCTTCTGGGGGGTCAGGGATAGAGTAAGAAGCATAACCTGGGCTGCACTGCAGCTGTTGCCCACAGAGGCAGTAAGGGAGGGCGAAGAGGAGCTTTTCGCACATCTGGACACCGCGCTGCCCTGGGTACCAGTCTGTCCAGGGAGGACTGGGCACATGAGGAGAGAACACGACACAGTAACGAAAACTGTATATACATTTTTTAAAAAGTACATAGAGCCCTTAGCCCTCCCCCAACCCCAGAATTACTAAAAATTCAAACTACTTTAAAATTATTGCCATATAGATAAAAAGGGAAGGAACGAGGAGACAGCCACACATTCAGAGTTCCCTGGTTCATCAGGGACCTGTGTGGCCAAGTGACAGATGGGGTGCCCTGTAAAACATCACAGAGAAGTCGAACGTGTGCATACACTTAAAAAGCATACACCCCAATACCACAAAGAGACCCTCGGAATGGATCTACTACTCTACTAGACACTTCCCACGCAGACAAAGAAAGGGCAGGGAGGAGGGGAAATGGAGACAGAATCTGCATTTTCCTCACAGATGCATGTAAAAGACAACGTAAAAATAAAGAAGTAACAAAGAAGTAGCAAAAACATTTATATACATTTAAAAAGTATCTGCCCTTACCCTGAAACTACTTTATCTCCCCTACCAAAAAAAAAAAACTAAACTAAAAACAAAACCCCAAACTACGCTAAAAGTATTGCCCACCAGGCAATAAGGGAAAGGGAGAAGAGGAGACTGTTATACATCCGGAACTCTGTGGTCCACCAGGGCCTCCAGCCTGGGCGCCCGGTGAATGGATACAATACAGTAGTGAGGACATGTATATACACTAAGTACATTTCCCTGCCTTCCCCTTCTCTCTTCTGTCCCCCAGCACTCCACTCTGACCAGTTACTCCGGTAGCTACGAGACACAGGCAGTAAAGGACAGGGAGAAAAAGATGGCTCTACACCCCCACCCCCATGTTTCATTAAGTACCTTCCTGTGCGTGAGGACGACACAGGACTAAATGAATCACTGATACGATGTAGTACAAGTCTATTTATATACATTAAGTGCATACCCCGCTCTGTTCCACACCCCAAAATGAAACAAACCACTAGCTATTGCCTAAAGAGGCAATAAGGGAAAGGGAAAAGAGGAGATTTGTCATACTCTGAACCTCAGTTTTTATTAATATATACATCCATGCCAAAAAATAGAGTATAAAATGGAACATAAAAAAGTAGCATGACATTTACATACATTTGAAAGATATACAAACCCAGACCCCAAGACGAGGTCAAAACACCAGCAACTGCGATGGCCAAGTCCGCTATGGTGCACGCAGGCAACAGGGAGAGGGCAAGCAGGACATTCGCCACACTTCTGGACCTCCGTGGTTTACTCTGTGTCCACAAGAAGGACGAGTGGATCTAGGTGAAACATCGCTCACCAAACAGCAGCAAGGCCATCTGTACAGACTCCTCACAAAGAACACGGCCCTCCTCCCAATCACTACCTCCTTCCAAAAAAGGAAACCAAGTAACGATTCTGTGGCTGTTGTCCACGCAGGATGACATGTCACCTTCACCGGGACAAAAATACACAAAATCAAAGAACAAAAACCTATCAAAAATACACGAAGTATATACTCCTCAAAAACCACCCGAAGGAAACAACCAACTATTCCAACTCCCCATTGCCCATGCAGGCAACACGGCAAAGGGAGAAGAGATTATACTTTCAGACCTCTTTCCATTAGGTACCTATTTGCCAATGCAAAGAATAAAACACAAAAGAATATAAAAACCAACAAAATAGATACTTTAGGGAGGAAGAAGTTCTTTAAAGGGAATTAACTGCAGCAAGTACAAAAGCACGAAGACAAAGGTCTGAAAGCAGAGCCTTATCACACCTACAACCTCCAGGGTTAGCGAGGCCTACACAATAAAAACCAGGTGATTTCCCAGTTCTGCCCTGGAACTGCTATCTGTCGGTTGACTCATCTGAGACGGACTCACCTTCCCTGCAGCCCACGAACGCAAAGGGGCCATTGTGAATATTCAACAATCTGACTACAGGTGATAGCTCCAGATGCTTTGGTTTGAGGACTCTTAAAATCAGGAACAGTCTACTGGGAATCCAACAAACACAGCCTTCATGCCAGTTCCTTACTTCTCAATATTCAGAAAGGATTCATTCTGGTACCCAGGAAGGCTGATGCAGCTCAATTTGCTTTCTATGCCCAGGACTCTTCTGACAACTCTTCCTTCCTGCAGTGGCTACAGTCTCAAAAAACAAAAACACAGATGGCAAAGAAAACTGGAGTCAAGTAGAACCAGTGCTAGTAAGAAGGTTCACGAACATGGAAGCAATGACAATACAACGTCATTTAAACGGGCTTAACTCCGATGAGAGGGAGGAAGGCTTGAACTTACAGTGGAAGCTGACGCTACCTGCAGTTCATTCTATCTCATCGCTTCACATGAACAAAACCAACTGGAGTCCTCCAACTTCTGCTTTCAGAACCTTTCAGATCTCGAGCATACATCGTTTTCCCACAGCTCTAGATTTCCACTTCTACCTTTCTTAATAATCTAGCATCATGTGCCTTTTATATGACATTTAAGTAAATCATCTCTCTGTGGTGACTAGAACACTTTTTCCACAAGTACAGAGTCAGCGTGTCGTGAATCATGTGCTTATATAGAAGAGCATGCCGTGACTTCTGTGCTTCAGTCTGAGTTCTCAAAAATACAGTGGCTACTTCTGGGAGAAACAATGTTTTCAAAAGCTACCACTGTACCTGTTATCCTAAAAGCTCTCGCTCTCTATTTAGCCTTACATTCCAGACTTACAAGTTTTAGGAGCCACACATAGATGAGTTAGCATGACATTAAACATCAGGTGATTCTGTGCAAAAAACTAAGCAGAGGCCAACTGTCACTACAAATAACTGGGGTGCAACAAAATAAAGCTGCAAATATGGATCTGGAACCATGGGAGTGTGGTCCTTGAGTAGAAAGAGAGCAATGGGTCACGAGGTTCGTCTTTTTTAGCCCACGTTTTGATAAAGTTTTACTTATAACCACATCCCGTACCCAACACGTGCAGTCATGGGTAAAGTAAATGAAATGATTACAGACAAGATTTGCCATATGTGGAGTTAATGCACTTCGTAGGACCATGTCAAGGTAGGCAGGTAAAACTGAAGAATCTTAACTGACTTTGAGAAGTAGCAAAATTTAAACTCTGTATCAAAGTGGAAATTCTAATACAACATGGTAAGAAACCAGCAACAAAAAACCCATCGAAAGTTGAGGATTTTTCTTTCACTCTAAAAATATAAAAACACATTAACTTTCAGTATCAACTAAATTATCATTCATTTATCAAATCACAAGAGGACTAAACCCTACAAGGACCCCAGTTTCAATAATACATCTTTAGAAGATTCTCTGATTCTCAGGATATAATATTTTCTACTCTAAAACAGAGAGAAAAATATTCAGAAAAAGATTAAACTGGGGAAAAACATACTAGGATTAAAGAAGAAGAAGGATACCACTGGGGAAAAACATACTAGGATTAAAGAAGGTTATCTTTTAGCTTGCCAGCCTCTTAAATTTTGTTTATAAAAATATTTTTACAAAATAAAATATAATTTTATACACAATCCTACATACTGCAACTTTACACCTGCTGCATAAAAAGAGGTGACCTATTCCACTGTCTGACCTGTGGAGTGTTTTAAGTGCTCATAAATGGGTTAACTACTCTTTTTATGTACACAAAAGCTGTTTTCAAACAAAATATAAAATTCTCAAGAATTATTAGGAAGAAAGCTTTTCTCCTTAGAATCAAAGAAACGCAACAATCTGGGTAAAAGTCTGCATAGCTCAAAAAATTCAAGTACAGTATTTCTCCTTTAGGAGTAAAAATGCCATACAGTTTTGAATATCCACCCTCGTTTTTCTTCCTCTCTTTCGTCGGCCATTTCTTTTAATGTTAGTTTGGCCACAGTAAAAGAAAACCTATGATTTCTCAACTAAAGAAAAGTATTGTTTTGAGAGTGGAAACCACTCAAAGCCCACCATGTTAAACATGAGTTCAAGTTACTCCTATGCCACATTCTCTTTGTTCCTTTAAGGTACTATGGTGAACTTCAAATAAAAATGTTCATTTTCACAAAGGTCCTATTTTAAAATATACTTCTACTATGCTACTCTACCATATAAAATGAAAATCCACACATGGGTATGATTCAGAGAGGAAGTGTCTATGCTCTTCGGTGCCAAAAGGCAACTTAAACAAGTTGCACTCTCAGTAACAGTGATAAGTCATGGTGAGGAACACCAGTGTGAACGAAATGCTCGCCACGAGTGCAGGAGCACTTCACTACGACGAAGGTACGGTGGCAGGAAGCGATGGCGGTGTACAGATCCGGGGAATATTGGCGTCCGTGAGAGAAATAATTGTGAGGAAAGCTAACTCGGTTTGGAACTGTTTCCTATGGGTATGTTATGAAAGATAAATAATAAAGTGTTAGATATTTGGAAAATTTAACCTTTTGGCCTTGTTATTTAGCTTTTCAATACAACAGAAATTTAAAAACTGTAGCACCTGGCTATTCTCCAAGAAAAAATTACAATAGTTACAGATATTAAACTTTTTTTTTTTCCAGAAAATAAGGGTTAATTGGAACCCCAAACCAAAGTAGATCTGCACACCTGAGATCAGGTCTCTACAGCTGCATGGTTCGTCATCTTCGTTCCCACACTCTGCGTAGCAACCTTTGTGCCACGCTCCAGTAACCGCCACCAACAGGAAACAGCAAACGCTGACCACTTAGCAGCCTGCAAACATGGTGACTCTTAGGGAAGACCTCTCCTTGCTTTACTGTGACAGTAACTTTCCAGATACCGAGAGACAGAACGAAATTCCAAAACAGACCCCCCTCATTTATATATCTTCAAAGTACAAAAATTGCTCATTGTTTTTGTAGATGGTTGGCATGGAGGTGATTATAATTTGGTAATAAATAACTGCATACTGCCCAAAGATATTTCAGAAAAGACAGATGAAAAATACAGTCGGGCCCTGAGCTAACTAGAACTCCTACGAGTGCAAACAACTTGGCAGCGATCCTGGTTTCACCTCCGGTTTCGCAAAAGCAGCAGAGCCCAGGTTTACAAAGCTCTCTGAACGGGCAACGGAATGAGGTGCGGTTGTGCATGCTACAGCCAGAAGGTCAGCGTTTCCAGGTTCTTCTCCACCCACTGGATATTTAGCTGAATGACTTCCAAAGCCTCCTGGACGCAACGGAGCCGGAAGGTTGCCTCAGACTGGTTTTCAAAGAAGGCCTGGACCTGGAGGTTTCACACAGAAGTATTTCAAAAGGAGAAAGGGACAGTAAGGCTCAGGTAACTCTGACTAGCCTTTTAAAGTTAGCTTTAACTGAGTGACAGCTGTGCTGACATCTTAGAAGCAGTAGACTTACATACATTCATGTGGAGTTCCTGACCAAGTACAGTGTTATCTGAAGTAACTTTTAAAATAAATTATTTTAGAAGCCAGGAGGTTGCATGGCGGTTAAGGTGCTGGACTCCCATGTGGTTAACTGCAGCTTGAGTCCTGGACACAGTGACATGAAATTCTTGCTGGGCATGTGTGCGTGCATGCCCCAAATCCTGAGGAGAATGAAAGAGAAGGACCTGTGCTATGGCCGTCCCCCCTGGGGGTTGATTTCCCACTTTCTCTGTCTCTCCAGCAGGTACATGCACCCTATAGCAAAAATCTCTCTGAAATAAATAAATTCTTAATGCTACAAGTTTGAATTTTTCTAACTTAAAATAGAAGAAAGAAAGTCTAAGTAACAATAAATGAGGTTAAGTTTAAAGTTAGTTTTGGTGTTATAAGTTCACTCTTTGAATAGACTTCTTCAGAACAGTTTTATTGCCACTTAAATTATTTGTGTCTCTTCCAGGGAGACAAGGGAATACTAGAGAATGGAACTGGAATTCTTCCTCACTGCCATATACCCCAACCTCTAGAAGTAATCTCAGTCATAATTATTAGCACAGATGAAGGCAGAAAGAAGGGACAGGGCTTAGCATGAAAAGCTACTGAATCACTTAAGCTGAGCAGCATGGGAGAAACGATTCCCTAGTTTCTCCCTGGGTGTTTTCTATAACCAACCTCAGACAAATGTGCCTTTGTTGAAAACAGGTGAGTCGATCCAGCAACAATGCTTTGCATGGTATAGGAGCCCAGATGGAACCTGAAGGAACAAATACATGAGCAGACCATGAAGCAGTTGCTGGTAAGCAAAGCTCTGGTAAGTAAATGCTTTCTTGCCAATAGCAGAGAGGACAGGAGGCCTACTCCAGGGAGTTGTAAACAAGGAAACCAGGGCTTGTCCTATACATGTTCACTGCCAGTGGGAAGGAAAATGGGCTGAAAACGTGAGGCATTCAGGATATCCAGATAAAGTTTTAATCCATTTACTCTCTTCAAAATCACATGCTATACCCAGAAATATCATTATTGCTTTAAAAGGGAGAAAGAAACCTACATGTGCTATCCAGTGAGGTGGGAGCTCTTAACTGATGCCTTGGCAAGTAAGAGGTATTTTCCAGCCCATGTAACTAAACAGTAATCCTGAAATGGTCTGAGGCCATACTGAGCTAAGTGACCTGGTGCGGAGCATGGGCGAGGGCAATTTATACTTGAATGGAACAGTACTGTTCAATGACTCGGGCTACAGGATTATGTTTACAAATGTGAACATTTCTGGGTGGTTCAGTCAAACTCTCTCACAGGGGCAGTTTCCCTCTCACAGCTGAACATAACTCTGTGAAACAACACAGCACTGGAAGCAGTTTTTTTCCAAATGCAGAGCCTGAGAAAAAGCTAGAAATTCTCTGAGAAACTTACTTTTGTACAAGCTTATTCCAGTTCTCCTTGACAAAATCCCAAGCCAGTAAGTGTCCAGGAAAATGGTGGCCCACTGTTCTAATGATAAATGACAGCTTTTGTGTTCGGATGGTATCTCCATCAAGGCTGCTTTTCATTAACCTGAAGAGCAAAGGCAAATTTAGCCTCCAAAATAATTATTCATGAAGAAGCAATAACTGAACTTAAATGAGTATGGTCTGTTAATTAAAGCTCTGTAATGATTCAAGGGAAATAAGTGCTGGGTTAGCCAAACACAGATCTTAAAATTTGTCACTTTTCTTTTTTTAAGAATTATCTTTTTGGGATCAGCAGTTAGCATAATGGCTATGTCTCTGGACTCCCATGTAGTTGACTACAGTTCGAGTCCCAGACCTGGTGGCTTAAACTCATGCCAGGTGCGTGTATATGCGTGCCCAAGATCCCGAGAGGAGAAGGGAGGAGAAGGGATTGTGGCATGGCCATCCCCCCGCCGGGGGGGTGAGTTCTTGCTTTCTGTCTCTCTCCGTCTTTCTGGCGAGTGCACGTGCCCTAGAGCAAAAAATCTCTCCAAAATAAAAATTATCTTTTCAACTTTATTTATTATTATCAGTTTTTAAATTTGAGTAGAATGAGACAGAGTGAGAGAGAGAGGGAAAGTGAAAAAGCAAGCCACTAGGGCCAGGACTTGAACTGTGGTTGGCTAGGTGGGAGTCCAGCGCCTTAATCGCCATGCCACCTACGAGCCCGTTACCTTTTTTTTAAGTGAAGGAAGAACTCATCGAGATAGACAATTATAAATACTGGTTGCAATGGTTTGAATCTGTCTCCCCAAAGTTCATGTGATAGTGCTAAAAGGGCAAAAGCTGAATCCAACCATGGATTAAGAGGTGAGATTTTTTCCTTTTGAACAAGATTAAGGTTATCAAGGTGGAGCCCTACAATTGAATTCTGGTGGTTTATAAGGAGAAGGAAAGACAGAGACACAGACACATTCGCTCTCACCACGCGACGTCCTGCACTGCCTCAAGACTCAGCACAGAGCCCTCACCAAGAAGACGCTCACCAGATGTGGCCCTGTGTCCTTAGACCTCCAAAACCATGAGCTAAATAAACCTTCATTGTTTATATTGAGTTGTTGGAAAAGTCATGACGTATTTGTCTGTCTTCCTTTCAAAATGGGTCATGACTTTCCCGACAACCCAATAAATCACTTAGGCTCAGGTATTTGTTATTAGCGGCAAAATGGACTAAAAAATGTCACATAATAATAGTGTTGGTCATTTAGGAAATAAGTTCTGATAGAGTTCGTTACAATTCTGGAGACTGGTATTTTTCTGGTAAAAATCTTATTTGACATGAGTAGACAAGTATATTGTGTTACTACTCTTAAACTGGGGCATTAGAATTATTTGAAATACACTATATAATATATTCTTTAATATTAACACCTAACACGTAGTGATACTATATCCTAGAATATTCTAGGTCCTAGACACAACACACTATGAAGTAGGTCCTTATTACTTATTTCCATCTGAAAGTTAAAGAAACTGAGGTTATGTAACTGCTCCACAGTTACACAGCTAATTAATACCAAAGCCCGGCATCTGAATGTAAGCAGCTTTCCTCTCCTGTACTATACTATTCGCTTATGCCAATGAAAACACACATGCCCCAGAAAGGTTGCATTTATATTTACAGGGGGCAAGGACTCAAATGCCCAACAAGACGTGAGGGTTATCCAGGTACGACAGAGCCGCACGGTGGGGTACTACGAAGCCAGAGGAACAAATGAAGTCAGTGTCTGGATGTGAGGTGGGGATCTCAAAGACTAATCATTCATGGAGAATAATGTCACAAAACCCTGGGTGCAGTACTCACCTACCTTTAAAACGTGTGGCTAAACATACATGTAAATGTATGTGTGTACGCACAAAGCGACTTCAGAAAGTATGTGGAAAAATGGGATTATAATAGGAATTTACTGTGGTGCAAAAATATTTCAAATTCATGCATAGTTTTTCCATGAACTTGTTGAAGATCCTGCATTTTGTGTGTGTGTGTGGGGGGGGGCGTGCATGCGTATGTATGTCTACCTCCACAGAACTGACAGTTAACAGAAATGAGAAAATAAGAATGGAAGTGAAGGATCCAGGAGAGATATGTGGATTTTCTTTTAGATTCTTAGGGATTGTTTGCATACTTCATGAAGGGAATATGTCAGTATATCACTTGTGTAATTTCAAAAACAAACAAACAGAAGTTCTGTATTTGCTTTACTTTCCCTATTTTACTTTAAAAAAAACCCCTATTTGTGGTGTATCTTTTGGGTGTATCTTTAGGTGCTGAGGATATTTCCGGACAGGATAAGAATTTTCCTGAGCAAAACTGTCTCCGAGCATAGAAGCAGTAAGATCCGTGCTTCCTGGCGTGACTTCCACCTCCCGGTTCTGAGGCACCAGACAGCATCGTCTTTCCCTTGGCACCCCAGAACTCCTTTACCTGCGGCAACTGCTCTTTTGCAAGAAGGCCCTGCTTAGTGCCCTTCTTTTACCCATGTGCAATTCCCATTTCTGGGCCTTCATCAGCTAGACATCAGAAAGGAAAAGTCGGACAAATTCACAAGAAGTTCGTAGAACCTGTAAGGTTTTATGTTATCTTTTCCTGAAGTGTCTACATTTTCAAAACGACAGCATGGACAGAGCAATGCCTTGGCTCCAGAGAATGAAGCACTACGTGTGGAGGACAAGACATGTCAAGAGAGGAATACGCTCTCGGGCAGGGAGCAGGAGCGGCTATGACTCCGGCCATCTCCCAATGAACAGCTTTTGGGCAAGGCACAGTCTGCCTGTCTGTAATAGATCAATCCCCAGGATGAAGTCCAGCCCAGACACGCACCACACCACGCTGTCCAAGTCAGGTTTTGCCTATTAAAAATAAAGGGAGAAAAGGGGAGATCTCAAAGAAACTGAGCTCCTGTCCTGAGAGCATGGTGCTTTCATGCTTTTGGTTCCTATAGATCATATATCTTGGGTAGTTTCATACCAGAAAAGTTTCCGTACATCCTCCGAGCTTGCAAGAGCTTCAAGTATTTTGTTCTTCTCTGCTTCAGAGACTAAAGTGATGTACTTGCTTAAAAGGAATGTCCAGCCTTTCTCAGTTTTTGCGCCAACTTTGAACACAGTAGTCATAACATCAGTAGGTAGGCTGTAAGAGAAGAGATCAAACATGAGAACAACAAGAAAAAATTCTTAATAGAAAGGCTGACTGGTGGCAGTGGTGTGTTGACCATCAGGAAATGGAATAATTACCAAAAATTTAACCACACAATTGGGTCAAGAGTAAAGCTAATTCAGTGACTCTTTTTCTAGTAGAAAGACTATGAAGAGCAACAGTTCAATATAATACAATAATTCTTCACTGAGCACTCACAAAGAACTAGGCAGGCAACTGGCTGGACACTGGGGAAAGGAAGAAGATATTTCCTACCTCCCAGGAACTCACAAGCTACCACAAAGCACAGAATAAATATGGACATTACGATACAGTGCAATAGTTCTATGGTAGAAATTTAGCAGGTGTGAGAAGAGGAGAAGAAACATGGTCTGCTCTCTCTTTTTTTTTTTTTGGAGAGGGTTTTTCGCTATAGGGTGCGTGCGCTCGCCAGACAGAGAGAGACAGAGAGACAGAAAGCGAGAAATCACCACCCAGGGGGGATGGTCACACCGCAATCCCTTCTCCTCCATTCTCCTCTTAGGATCTGGGGCACACACACACACGCGTGCCCAGCGTGAGTTTTAAGCCACTGGGTCCGGGATGTGAACCGCGGTTGACTACATGGGAGTCCAGTGACATAGCCATTACGCTAACTGCTGGTTCCCAGTCTGCTCTCTTTTTCAAGATCTCAGAGCTGGGAAAGACTTCAAAAGGTTTTCCAGAGGCCCCACCCAACTCACTATCTGATGCCTGAATGGTCTCTCCGTAATGCCCAGTAGGAACCTGGGAAAACCGATCATTGCAAACATTTCTGCAAACTGCTAACTCCCCCTGCCATGTTTCATTCCTGAACTAAAGAGACTTGCTTGTCATCTCACACGGATTCTGACTGGTTGCTATAAACAAACAAACAAATACACAAATAGAAAACAACAAGTGTTGGCAAGGAATGTGAAAAACTAGAATGACTGTGCACTGCTGGTGGTAATGAAAAGTGGTATGGTTGCTATGGAAAACAACATGGAAGTTCCTCAGAAAATTAAAATAGAATGATCCAGCAACAACATCTGAGAATAGATATCCAAAAGAATTGAAAGCAGGGTCTCTAAGAGCTATTTGTACACCCATGTTCATGGCAGCATTATTCGTAACACCCAAAAGGTAGAAATAATCCAAAGCTCTATCCATGAATGAATGAATAAACAAAATGTGACCTATACATACAGTGGGATATTATTCAGCCTTAAAAGGGAAGGAGATTACGATACATTGTACAACATGGATGTGTCTTGAAGACGTTATGCTAAATGAAAGAAGCCAGTCACAAAAAGACAAATGCTGTGCGGTTTCACTTGAAGGATCTGGTGTTGGCAACTTACAGAAACAGCACGTAGAACAGAAGTTACCAAGGGCTGAAGGAGGAAGTGAGGAGTTTTTAATGGGTCCAGCTATAGTTTTGCAAGATGAAAATGTCCTGGAGGTAAGTGCACAGCAATGAGAATATACTTACCACTACTGAACTGTACTCCAAAAAGTCATAGATGGTAAATTGTATGTTATTTGTATTCTACCATATTTTTGCCATGGTGGTAGGGGGAGGGCACTCCATCATGCCCTCTACCACATTTTTAAAAACTCTTGCTTGAGAGTACAGGTGCATGGGGTTCACCTACATTAACACTCAGTTTTGTAACATCTATGGCTCAGGAAGAGAAGATCCCAGCTTTGGTATATGGTGTGAGGCTAAGAAGAGGAAGGGGTACACCCGAGAAGAACACACTTTACCTATGTGTCCCATTCGATGCCACCCACTCGTCAAACAGCTTCATGGCAGACGACCTGCAGTTCTCCAGGCTGTGGGTGCAAGCGAATTCTAACAAGACTGACCGAAGCTCTCGCATAGATGGGGTGCCCTCATCAGTCCAAGTTTGTTGTTGGATTTGGTTTTGAAGCAATTTGAATACCCTGGCCTAGACAGACAAAATAGATAATGAAATAATCATCACTGGGACAATCAGAAAAGTCAAAACAACTCAATCTCTTTTTCCTAACATTTACTCAAGGGGAAAAAAGGCACAGATATCACTCAATAAATATCAGCTGATATATGAGCCCCATATATAGCTGGAACAAAACCACTTAACAACAAAGGATATGTCTAAGGCTGCTACTGCCAAGAGGGATTTTTAGGAAACAATCAGAAAGAACTGATAACTTTTATGCAGTAGGAAACCTTCATTCTGCGTGTTCTCAGATAAAAGTGATTTTCCTGCCAAAAAAGCATCATTTATAATCATGGAAGAAAGTCAGAACTTCTGGTCCTTGTGACATTAGAATTCATAAACAACATGAAGCAATGAAAGAAAAATACACTTCTTTGCTGACAGTTAATGTTTAAACATTTCTGAAGGAAATAGTAAAGGTATATTTAATGTATCAATTAGTTTGATGTGGTAACAATTTAACTAAATTACAAAGAAAATGAGGCCTGCCTGAAGAATCATCGTTCAGTTTACATTATCTCCTTTTCATTTAAAATGTTTTAAAACCTACAGAAAATAGGCAAGAATAGTATGATGAATACCCATCTAGAATTCATCAGGTTTGTTCCTTTGTTTATTTCTATTTTTAAAAAATTTGCTATAGGAGTACACGTTCACCAGAGAGAAACAAAGAGACAGACAGGGAAAGTTAGAAAGGACTCCCCAGGGAAAATGACCATGAAGCAAGCCCTTCTTTTTCCTCTTGAGATCTTGGGTACACATGGGTACATGTGCACACACACACCCTGTGTGTGTCTCAATCCGCTGGGTCTGGGATTCAAACTACACAGTCTGCCATGTGGGATCCAGGCACATCATGGCACCTGGCAGGCCCAAGAATTCTTTAGTTTTTAATGCTCTTATTGGTTTCATTTCTGTGTATATGCAATGCACACATAAATACACAGTTTTTTTCTGGTTTCAGTTGAACTATGTGAAACTAGATAATATACATAATATTTCATTAATAAACACTTAAGCATGCAACTCTCAGAAATGAGAACATTCTTCTGCATAAGTATAATATCCACCGTCTACTATCTAGTCCCATTACAGTCACCTCTGAGTGGGATGTTACATGTACACTGGTGGTATGAAGGAACCAATGAATACATTAAAAAAATCTCTGTATAACAAACACATAAAAGCTCTTTATATGGAAGTAGTTCCATATTGCAAGTTGTTGTACACGGAGAGGAGGAAAGACACATGGGGCTTAAAAAAAGCATCCTATGAAATATGCATTTCTGAATGCCACTGGGAGGAAAAAACACTCTAATACGAAACAGACGCTGCCCGCTCTCAGGCATCTCGGTCTCAGTGGCTTTCTTCCCAGTGGCACTTCCTTACCACCACCATTAACTACCGTGTCTCACTCAAGGAATCAAGAACCACAGACTGACCACAGACAGAATTCTTAACCCCTGTAACTCAGTTCATCTTCCTCACAGAGCCTCCCACCGGCTGTGGCTGGCTGCGCAAGTGCGTCTTCCACTGGCCTGAGTCCTTGACAGCATCTGCCTAGCAAACTGACCCCAATGACTGCAAATGAGGAAAATGGAAAACTACGGATAACTGACAAATAGAAAAAAAGGACAAATAAGGGGGGAATAAAATTACATGTTTGAAATTCTGTTTAAAAAAGCTCATCAGAGAACAATGCAATGCTTATTGAGAGTTTCCTAGAACGAAAAAGCCAGTGGGGTGGTGGGGGGGGGGGGGGGAGATGTGTTTAAAGCACTAGAAGCAAAATCTGACATTAGAAGATGTTGAGGTTAACTCTTGCTAAGGAAGTTACACCACTGGAATTACAGAGTGCGGTTTAGCTTGTTAATCTTTGCACCAAGTCATAAAAAGGAATTCTCATACTATGAGATTTTTAATAAATATCATGGATTTTAAATAAATTTCTAATTATAACAGAGCAAAAGTTTTTTTATAGGGTGCGTGCGCTCACCAGAAGGACAGAGAGAGACAGGGAGACAGAAAGTGAGAAATCATCCCCCAGGGGGGATGGCAGTGCTGCAATCCCTTCTTCTCCATTCTCCTCTCAGAATCTTGGGCACGCATGCATACAAGCCCACCATGAGTTTAAACCACTGGGTCCGGGACTCGAACCACGGTCGACTACATGGGAGTTCAGCGACATAGCCACTACACTAACTGCTGGTCCCCAGAGCAAAAGATTTAATTAAAAAGTCTGCTTTTCAAAGAATCCTGCTATTATAAAATATGATAAATTTACAAATAATTCAGGTTATAATAATGAAGCAGAGCATGTGTTCTTTAGAAATAAAATAAAACCTATTTCTCCAAATTATTATTATTTTTTATTTAAGCTCATTAAACAATAAAATCTAACCCTCATTTTCATAAAGTGAAAATGGTAAATGAGGAAAGGGAATAAGTTGATGGGTTATGTAAGCTATAAACACTGGATATGCAATAAATGACAACAACAATCACACAAAATGATTTTAAAAATAAAACAGGCAGGGAAGGATGTGGCACTTACGTTACAGGGTACATGTAGATTTACTGCTTTAATTTTACACTGATATGCCCAGGGAGTTCTTTCCGGGGTCAACAGAGTTTCTTAAAAGTGAAATGTCAGTTTTTATTGCTAAAGGTTTATCCCACCAATGCCTCATATGTCCAGAACGACAGGTCTGTACGTCATACGACAGGAATATGGCTAGGATCAGGTGTTAACATCTAATGGGAACAATTTGACACAATCCAAATGTGCCTCCAGAATCTACCCCTGCAACACCCACAGCATTCATCACAAAATGTGGCTCACGTCACAAGCAGGCCACATAACAAAATGGCCAAGAGGGGCTTGGGTTACGCTGCTGTTAAGTTAGACACTCTTAAACATTAATGCATTCTGGGTCTAAGAATTCAGAATTCATACTTTGAGAGTTTATTGTTGTTGTTTTAGAGAGATTTTTGCTATAGGGCAAGTGTGCTTTGCCATAGAGACAGAGAGAAAGTGAGTAACCACTCCCTAAGCGGCATGATCGCTCTGCAATCCTTTCTCCTCCATTCTCCTTTCAGGATTTTGGGCACCCTCACAGGGCCTGGTGTGAGTTTTAAGCTACTGAGTCTGTGACTTAAACCGCAGTTGGTCATGTGAGAGTCCAGCCCCTTAACCACTATGCCACCTGCTGTCCACAATTTGAGTTTTTTTTTTTTT